TACATTATAAAAGTGGATTTTCAATCTCTTTTTTTTTTTTACACCACTGTAAAGCATTAACACAGTAGTCACCAGTGTTGTCAAAAAGACGTCAAAATTTAAACAAAAACAATAATTTACATTTTAAAAGTGTCATTGTATACTAATGGCTTAAGAGATAATCTTGATAGACATAAACAGAAAAGAAAAATAAAAATGATGGACAGTCAATTGCTTTATCAAACAAAGTTTGAAGATAGGGGATCCTGAAGTAGATTTTCAGTTTTAGATGAAAACCAAGTGAAAAAGAGATGCAGAAGATTGTTGGGGAGGAAAAAAAAGAGAGAATAACAAGTGCAAAGATTTGTTAAGTTACTTCTTTCTTTCTTTTTACTTTTCTCTTTGATTTTTTTACTTGTCAATAGGCTTTGCTAGTTAAGTAAATCATTATTACTTTTTATTTTTTTGTTAAGTGGATAAATAGAAATAAAAGTTTGTAGACCTACTTGGTTTCTCATTTTATAAAGATTTTTAGTATAATTATAATAATAATAATTATTATTATTGGTTTTTTTGTTATGTCATGAAATTTCTCACCTTGAACTAAACAGAATCTAACTGCACTTAGTTCATAAGTTAGTTCTGACTCCGTCTCCATCTGTGTGCTTAAGTGCGTTTGTCTGTGTCTGTGTCTCTCTGTGTGTTTTTTTTTTTTGTTCGGCTTTTTGTGTTTGTGTTTATTTGTGTTTGAAATAATAGAGAGCGGAAATGCACTAAGGATGAAGAAGCTGTAAATGCAGATGGCAGCTGAAGATGTGAAGAGCAACCCAACAAACTGAAGAAGTTTTATACAGGTAACAAAGTCAATAAACTTGAAACCTAAATTTTATGCTTGCGTTATATCTCAACGACCAAACACTGCTGATGTATTGCTGGCTTCTCAAACACTGCTTAATATCTATCTATCTATCTATCCATCTATCTATCTATCTATCTATCTATCTATCTATCTATCTGTTCCTGTGCTATATTGTTGTTGAAACAAAAGACAAATGGTGAAGAATAAAAATGAACAAAAAAAAAAAGCTGACAAAAAAAAACATTTTTTATATGACAAAAAACAACTGCATAATGCCATATCTGTTTCATTCAATTTTCAGTGAAATATTGACGATTGATAACTTGTAAATGATACTCAAAAAAAAAAAAAGTAGAAAAATATGGTAATTTTAAGGCTTTTTTTTTTGTTTATCTTAAATTATCCAACAATTCATTTTCTTTTTCTATTGCAAAATTTTTTTTTCTTGTTAATTTTGATTTTCAAAATTTAGCTCTTGCAGAATACTGTTCAGTAGTGTCTAAAATTTTGTTGAATTAACAAAAAATCAGCTGTCCGCAAAGTTTGATAACTGCTAAACACTAACTAACACGCGTTTCAGAAAAAAAAAAAAACGAAACAAAATTTGCTTTATTATTTTTATTTTTCGTAGTTTTTATGTCAATTTATTTTTTTGTTTTATTTGGCAAAAACAAAAAATAAATACGTA